CGAGTCTCCTGCCTCAGTCTCCCAAGTAGCTGGGACCACAGGCACCCGCCACAACGCCTGGCTATTGTTTGGTTGCAGCCGTCATTGTTGTTTTTGGCGGGCCTGGGCTGAATTCAAACCTGCCACCTTAGGTGTATGTGGCTGGTGCCTTGGCCAAAATTATTTAGCTTTCAAACCTCAGTACCATCTCAGATTCTTTCCTTATTCCTTATTTTCTTTCTTTCTTTTTTTTAAAGACAGAATCTCACTCTGTTGCTCAGGCAGGACTCAAACTTCTGGGCTCAAGTGAATCTTCTGTGCTCAGCCTCCTGGGTAGCTGGGACTGAGGTGCATACCACCATGCCAAGCTCCTGTCTTTATTTTCTATCAGTTACTCAATTCCACTGTCTTTTTCACCACTTCTCTTCAACTCACATATCTTCTAGGTTTCCATCTGGATTACTCAATAAAAATGTCTGTTAGCAAACACAGTCTACCCCTGGCCCCACATTCTTGCAGCTCACTCACTGCTCCTTTGCAGCTGGGATATACAGTTTCTAAGCACACTGACAGCTTCCCACCTCAACCACGTCTCTCCTAAGTTCTCCACACCACGTTAGCTTGCCAACTCCTAATCAGAAAACCTGGGGAGAGCTGGCAACAGTTTTAGAGGCAATCTCAGTGAAGACTGGCAGTACATACAAAAGGACTTCAGCTCCTTTTCACGTACTTGGTAGGACAATTCTGAGGCAGTTACACAAGAACCTGGACAAGGTGAAGCCCCAGCCGCCTTCCCATTATTGACTCTTCTCCCTTCCCTGACCCCACCTACTCCTTCACTTGTGCTTCCTAGGATCTCACCTGCACCCATGTCCTTATCTCAGGGTCTGAGTTCAAAAAGCATAACAAGAAACCACACGGGCTACAAAAGCGAAGCTGTCAAGATCTAGCTTAATATAAAGCCATCCAAGTAGTCTTCCTGTCTCAGTCTTCTCCCAATTACAGCTCATCCTGCATTCATGGGGATCACACAGCTCTTCTGATCAAACACCTTCAGTGAAGTCTTTCATAATCTGCCTTCATCTCCTGTAACTAACATATAAACTACGAATTACTGTATCATCACCCAAATTGTTCTACTGATTCTTTCTCAAATTTTACTTTAAAGGAACTTTTTAATCTGTTTACATTAGAAATGTCCTCCAATGTTTGCCTTTCAAAGCTCATTTATCTCAAATACTATCTCCACTGAGACCCCTACCATAAGTAATGCCTGCTTCACCTAAATTCCTAAAGAACTTCTATAATATTCATAAGGCACTTGTTGTAATTGTGTGAAACACTGCCTCACTTGACTACAAGGCCTTATTTATTTATTTATTTATTTTGAGACAGAATCTCATTCTATTGCCCTGGGTAGAGTGTCATGGCATCATCTTGGCTCACAGCAACCTCAAACTCTTGGGCTCAAGCAATTCTCCTGCCTCAGCCTCCCGAGTAGCCAGGGATACATGTGCTCGCCACAATGCCTGGTTAGTTTTTCTATTTTTAGTAGAGATGGGGTTTCACTCTTGCTCAGGCTGGTCTTGAACTCCTGAGCTCAAGTGACCCACCCACCTTGGCCCTCCAGAGTGCTAAGATTATAGGCAGTGAGTCACCATGCCTGGCCTTGACTATAAGGTCTTTAAGAGCAAAAACCAGGCTCGGCACCTGTAGCTCAGCTGCTAGGGCACCAGCTACATACACTGGAGCTGGCAGGTTCAAATCCAGACTGGGCCTGCCAAACAACAGTAACAACCGAAAAAAAAAAAAATAGCCAGGCATTGTGGCTAAGGGACTACAGAGGATAAGGTAAGAGAATCACTTAAGCCCAAGAGTTTGAGGTTGCTGTGAGCTGTGACACCACAGCACTCTATAGAGGGCGACAAAGTGAGACTGTCTAAAAAAAAAAAGCCAAAACCATATTTCATTCTTTTTATTTTCCAAACGGACTTGCCCTGGTAGACTCAAAATATCCACTTGCTTTAGACGTCGGAAGTAACATTTGAAAGCAACATTTACTTGGATATACCACTGTTTCTTAAATACTCCTTTTAGACATACTATACTTTACATAATTCATGTGCCTTGTTATAAAGAGGTAAAACCAACAGTACTCATCTCAGATTCTTGCAGGGGTGTCCAACCTGTGGCCTGTGATCCTCCTGAAGATTTTGTAAAGACTTCTTTTGATCGTCTGTGGTGTCAAGATACCACAAAAAGTATGCACAGACCTTTTTTTTTTTTTTTTTT